GTACTCAAGTGAAATAATAAATAAGAAAAATTTAAATTCTTTCATAAAAAGTAAACAAATCATTTGAGAATCAATGGATTTTAGACATGCATAATGATTATAAAAAAGAAAACCTTGGCTAAAAACAAACTAAGATCATACACTTTTCAAACAAGATTTAAAAATTGAAAATTACCTAATTAATATGCAGAACCATGGTCTTAGAAGGTTAATTGCAAAATTTAGGACAAGCAACCATGAGCTTAAAATTGAGAAAGGCAGACATAATAATGTGCCAGTGGATAAAAGAACATGTGATATGTGCAGCCAAAATATAACTGAGGACGAGCAACATTTTGTAATGAAATGTCCAGCTTACAGTCATCATAGGGACAAATTATTCTTGACTGCACAAAATAAAGTTCCAAATTTTGATAAAGAAAACAGTCAGAATAAAATCATATTGATTATGGGAAACCATACTCTAGCACAAGCCTTAGCTGTCTTCTTAAAAAACAGCTATGAAACAAAACAGCAACAACTATCAGTGTATTAGGTTACATTTTGTGTTCATTCTATATCCTGTATTCACCATTGGCTGCAAATTGTCTTTATTGTTTATTCATATTTGTTTTTGATTTGTTTTATATTTTTAAAATAGCTTTTTCTTTCTTTTTAGATTATAATTTTAATTTTTTTCTGTAAGACCCTTTTTATCTTTTCCTAAGGATTTTATGCGTCTAATAAAAAATAAATATATTGCCATATTGCTAACAACTGATAGAAATGTATCTTTATCTAAAGATGCAATATAATATTACTATTTATTACTCTTCCTGTCATTGATTGTATTATGCATTGTATATATTTGTCATTCTACGTTGTTTATCGGACATTTATACTCCTTTACGAAGTACGACGACGGTGAATAGGTTTTCATCGGCGACATTTTTACTTTAACACGTCGGTGATTAAAAAGAATATTGTGATCGCGCATATTTTTACTTGGCCTTACGAAAATGCGTTGTCATTGACGGGATATTTTGCGTGTAAGTAATAAGGATAAATGTTCAAGTTAGTTGTGAAACATTACGTAATAGAAATGCATAATTATTAGGAAGATAGTAACTGCAATACGTTGTAGTGTATGTTGAATACTTATGTATGGTGGATATGTTACGCCGGTAGACACGTAATGAGTTTGACAAATTTGTGTTTAAGTTTGAGTAGATGGATTTGTGGGATATAAATAGAAATGGAATATATTTTAGGTTTTTCCGATCTAAATTAGAGCGGGGGGGGGGGGGTCGTTCCAAGCGACGATAACAACACACGCTAAAAACGCAAAGGCTCATGGGTATACGCGTGTTTGTAAACAATGACATGCTGTGGCCATCTGACGCATGCGCAGGTGACAACTCCCCGCTTTAAATTATATATTTCAGATTTCAGTGATACATTAAATAATATCATAAATAATTATTATAATACTGAACAACAATTTACGATGAAAACAAAATTCGTTTAAAATTTTACTTGGATAATAGAATAAACATTAATATTACAAAATCAAAGTGTGGGAAAACATTAAATAAATAAAATTGTATTTGAATGGTCTAGAATTAGAAAAAGTATCTTCATACATGTATCTTGGTATAAAACTGAATACCACTGGGTACCTAGATATAGCTCAAGTAAAAAAAAAACGGGCTCTGAAGGCCCGGGCATGTTTCCAACTGAAGCAGATGCTCTACAAGGAAACTCAACTTGAGGTTCCCATCAAAACTTATCTGAAAATGTTCGATCTTACGATCAATATTGTGCAGAAATATGAACATGTGACATAATAAAAAACTATTTGATGCACTTATTGCCACCAATGGAAAAAAAGGTACATACTGAAGGTAAACTGCAGGACCACAAACCTTGCCTGGTTGTTAGAATTTGGACGATACCCCCTAATAACTACATGTACCAGACAGATGTTTAAATATTGGTTGAGATTGCGCAATATGCCTGAAAACAGCCTCATAAATGAAGCATATAGATTGGCAATCAATATGGATAACTTAGTGAGGCAGCAGCCAAAACATATTATATGGAACATGAGTGGGAAAATAGACGGATTAATATAAACAAATACCTAAATAATATTACTACAGCACTGGAAACCAACTTCGGAATTAACAGTAGGAATTCTTAAACATTGACGATAAAGGTGTTAACCACATAATAAACTGCGTAACTACTGAAAATTAAAAACTGAGTTTGGACTTGAAAATTATCTGCCGACAGTAAATAACTCACTACAATGACCAAACTAAGATTAAGTGCACATATTTTACAAATTGAAATTTGCAGATACCATAAAATTAACATTACTGAATAAAGCGATGCAATGCGATGATATTGAAGATGAAAAACACTTTTTGTTAAAATGTTATATATACAAACATAAAAGACAGGCTTCTCAACACAATTTGACAGTTTTCCGAGGGAAACACTGATACAAGCTTTGAACGTGTTATTCACAAAGAATACGGCCATGCTAAAATGTCAAGCAAAATGCATATATGAATGCTTCATCCTAAGACAAAGCAAATTAAAAAAAAAACAGCTATCTCAAAAATGTCTAATTAAGTGAACCATACATTTACATTTTATAAATATGCGTTTCTAACCCATTTCGGGCAAGTTTTTTTTGTTTCTTATTTTTGTTTTTGTTTTGCTTTTAGTTGTTGTTGTTGTTGGAGTGTATGTTTTTTCCTCTGTTTTTTTTTTTTTGTCATAGAACGACAATCATGCTCATGGAAGTGCGCCACCAGAGTCATTTTCTGATTTCGCTAACAAAATGGAACCAGCGCCCAGTAGTCTGTCACGGTATTTAGACGGTGATTTTTGGGAGGTCAAAGAAAAACTTCGACATTATATAGGTGAAAATGAATTGTTCAATCTCAGGTATGTGCAATACTACTAAAAATCGTACCATATAAGGTATATAATAGAAGATTTCCGCGACTTCCGTTATCGTGTTGAACCGTATACACGGCCCTGCATACGCACAGCTGTTTAATGGGTCACCCCCCGGTCATCAAACTTCGAATTGTGCACTTTGACTGCTTTGTTTGGAGTACGTGGCTTAAAAAGGCAAAAATAATATCACATACATATATACATACTAGTAAGAAAGTTGGCTATTTTAATTTCTCAAAAATGGGGTTGATTTGTGTTAATTAAACTTTTGAATAATTCTACTGCATGTACCGTAATTTCGCTATATGCACTTAAGTAAATAACCGAGGTGTGTCTATAGTCAAAATAAGTCATTTATTAAAATGACCCATAATACAGTAATTCATTTTTTGGTTTATGTGCACTTCTAATAATAGAACAAATACAATATTTGGTTTCAAAAATTAAAATTACATTTGTCTTTTAAAATGTATATAGATCTATATAGTGTATGATAAGCAATGAATGAATGAAAGGCAGTACATTTTTATTAGTAGTTTTACCATTCCTCTGCTATTCAAATGTAGTCGTAGGAGGCATTTGAAAATTGTAGGCTGGGAAATTGATAAATGCCACATTTTTTCCCACCAGTATGACGGAAATTTTTTTTTTTTTTTATCTGGGGAGTGATCATATTTTTGCCCATTTTTTTTTCAAAAAAGTTTCTTTCTTCTGAGGAAAAAATGATTTTCTGTCCTTACTGCCGTTATTGGTAACAAACTTTATTGATTATTGCATTTGATTAGTATCTTTCGTTTTTGCAGGTTTGATATGTCACTTTCTGAGAATAGAGAAGTTACTTTGGAAAGAGCCAAGAACCTGCTGAGATTTCAGGATATCCAATCTCAGTTTGATGAACAGGTTTGTTGAATGGTTTCCACAACAACTTTTAAATCCAACACATCATGATTTCATCTACTGTGGAATACTTTATTTTCGCTGGAATTAATTTTCGCTGAAATGGCTTTTTGGGCATTTTGTATGGAATTTATTTTCACTGATTTTTGATGAGTTTAATGTGAAATATAGGAAAAAAAGATATTCGTTGGATTTTATTTTCACAGAATCATTCCTTCAGCGAAAATAGCGAAACTAAAGTATTCTACAGTATACAAAATCAACATTACTAGAAAAAAACATACAAAAAACATGCAAAGACTCTCATTGTGTGCTTTGCACACGGGAGTCAGTTAATCAATAGGTTCTATTTGGTATTGATGAAGTTGACAGCAACCATGATCTGTTTCTGTTTCTGTTGAAGTAAATTTAAATGAATATTATTTGCTTTCTATTTCTAATGGTTCTAAATATTTTCTATTTTGTAGGCTGCACATATGAGAGGTTTTATGAATAAAAGTTTGGCAATTGGTGATGTAGTATCAGCAACTGATATATCTGTTGGAGTGAAGGTAAGTATGAACCAATGTGTAATGTTACCAGAAATATAATTAAGAATACCATAGTGTTTACACAATGTAAGTGAAACCCTCTATTGTGTCTTGGTTTTTATTTGATGTACTGTGCCACACTCATCAATCAATTAATTAATAGCTTAAACCAGGTTAACGTAATTGATAATATTTTTCTGCAGATAAGTTATGACAAGCATTAAAAAGTACTATATGTTTTTTTTAAATCCATTGAGATTTATTTTATAGTTTTGAAGTAATCAATATTTATTTATTATGTGTATAGATGGGTGTAATGGCATGGTTGTTTGGTGGAGCTGTGATGAATCTTGGAACTGAGCAACATATAGAGCGGTTCTTACTTCCCCTTAAGGTATATAGAATTTAATTCATTATAAATTTATTAAATTGATTGCAGTACTTTGTACTGGCCCAGGACATAAACTTGAAACACAGAAATGAGGATTATCAAAACGCCACATTAATGATTAAAATTATTTCTGATTCATTGTTATTAATAATTATTTATCTATCGTATATTTGTTGCAAATGACGCTGTTGTTGTTTTCTTTACAGGAGTTGAAATTTACTGGTATGTTTGCTATGAGTGAAAGAGGACATGGTAGTAATGTCAGGTCACTACAGACACAAGCACACTATGACCCTGATACTCAGGTACGTCATCTCACTGCAGACACAAACACACTCTAACCCTGGTACGTCAAGTCTTATTCGCTTTGCTCTATTTTCAGTCAACTGGTTGGTGCAGTGGTTTGTATACTAGTCCAGCATACTGGAGGTTGTGGGTTTGAATCCCACACTAGCCAACTCACAAATTTTTCTCATGCAGTATAATTCATGTATTCTTTCATCGCTTGTATGCTGTACTACCTGTAATTTCCAATTTCACTAGTAGTAGTCCAGAGTTTTAAATCCGGTTTGGTCCCCGAAGACGAGGGTGGCCGGATTCACCTTAAACTAGTGGCAATCGCTCTTACCCCCTCCCTCCACTTTGCACGATTTAAAGCATCCCTCATCTTCATCCCAACCTTCCCACTCTCCTCCTCCACTTGCATCTTCCACGTCTTCTTTGGCCTTCCCCTTTTCCTTGGACCGCTCACCTCTAAATCAAGGGCCCTTCTTAATACATGCCCATCCTCCCTCCTCAGCACGTGCCCATACCAACGTACCCCATTTGCCTTCGCCAACCGATCTACCGCTTCCTTCAAACCCAACATCTGCATCAAGTCCTCAGTTAACTTTCTGTCCATCAACTTCACCCCACACATTACTCTCACCATCGCTCTCTCTGTCCTCCTTAAAATACCCAACTCATTTTCACTCAAACACCATCTCTCTCTCTCCAAATCTCTTCCCATATAGTAGCTCTCCACATTCCCTAAACTTCACCCAAGCAAACCTTGCTCTAGCTGTCACAGCCGCCTCACACCCACCACCCACACTTACCTTGTCCCCCAGGTATGTAAACTCCTTCACTGACTCAACCTCATCACACAACTTTTCTTCCTGTTCCACCACCATTCCAGCTCCATTCTTACATCTTCCACACGCAAAATCCGTTGCCAATCTTTGGGTCACCTTCTTTATCTTTGCACATCTCCCATGTATCCACTTCCCACATTTCACACACCGCACTGAATTTACCTTTACCCTCTTTCCACACATGCCACATGGGTCAACCTTACTCACCAAAGCTTTCTCCTCCGTCCCACTTTTGTCTTTCCCAGATTCACTACTGTGGAATATGGATACCTTGAACAATTTTGGAGAAGAAATTATTTTGGAACTTAGACTGTAAAAAAGTTTTCTCAAAGAAAATATTCATGTGCATGCACACACTTGTTACTGAATTGTATCCATTATTTATACTTTTTTTGTTAAATATGAAAAAATTAATAATATGTTATGGAAACGAATTATGCCAGTTATTTTTGTCTATTTTAATGTTGTTTACATTTTTCATTTTGCATCTTTGCCAATCTGATTAAGATCTGATGTAGTGTACGGGCTTTAATTATTTTGGCTATAAACTTATTTTAGTTTTATTTTTTATTACTTTTGTTTTTAATGCCCTTTTATTTTATTATTTTACTTTGATTTTGTGATTTTTTTTTAATTCTGCCCTACCTACATCTGATCCGATGCCTATGTAACGAGATTTCGACGAGACCCACTATCGACGATTTTAGCCAACGAATCACAGTGTCTATATCAGATTTTAATCAGATTGCATCTTTGCTTGTGGCAACGTAAATAACATTATGCAATAAAAATTATTGCTGGCAGGAATTTATAATCAATACTCCATGTGAAGATGCTGAGAAGATATTCATTGGTAATGCTTTGCAAGGAAACTATGCATGTGTATTTGCACAGTTAATAATTAATGAAGAATCCAAAGGACCACATGCATTTATTGTGCCCATTAGAGATGAGAATGGCCTGAAACCTGGCATTAGTGTCATAGATGTGGGATTAAAAGAAGGTAAGGTTATCATGTTGATGCTATTTGTAGGGACTATTTAAATGTACAGTAAACGAGAAGGGAAGGTGCATTTTATTTTGTTTTGTGGTTTTGATGTAAATCTGTGCATATTACTTACTCGCTTTGCATATATTAGGCAACTTGATGCTGTTTTAACAGATTTTAATGAAACTTAGTACATGTTCATAAATGTTTTGGATACTCTTGAGACATGATAAGTTATTGGTCTGATTTTTAACTGATATGCGAATATCTGCCGGTAGTCATCAAATTTCAATAAACTTAATACATCAGAGCTCTGGGGCGATCCACGGGTGAAATTTATATTATCCAATTTAACTGTTCCACAAATAGCTCAACTCATATTTAAATGACATTTTTTACATGGATGGTCTAGAGTTGTATTATAATAATTTTAAATAATTAAATATATACCTATTCCATGCTTCAAATACTCTCAGCCACATGGAAGTTTTTTCTTAGCTTTATTTGATTTGCAGGTTTTCATAAAAGCAAGGCTGTTAACCATTTCACCACCAGTTCCCTCTTTTCATCACAAATTCACAAAATAGTCCTGTTTATAGTCTGCACTTTCGTTCATCAGATTGGGACGAAAATAACCCAATTTTTTGAGTAAAAACTGAAATTGACTCAATTTTTTTCAAATTAGGGTTCAATTCCCGAAATACTGTAAAATGTAGGAAAAAAAGTTCAAAAAAATTTGAACTTAAACTTCTTTTAATAGTTCAGTGTCAAAATTCTGATCTTTCAAGGGGAATATGGCATTGAGTTACATTTACTTCATCAAAGTTGACCATCCTCAATCTGTATAGCACATCATTGAGTGTGGAAATACCCCTAAAATACTTCCCTGTATGTCAAATCCAACACGAAGTTTTGATGTCGCTACTACACTATGACCTACACTATGTTAGTCCTGTTTTTACGTTCAATTTCACACATAACAATGAATCTTGCTTTTAACGAAAAATGGTCTGTTAGGTAGGTGACAGGTCAACACATACTCTAAACTGAAAAAAGCAACTTTTATTACTATTAGGACTAAATGGTGTTGATAATGGTCTATTATCATTTCACCATGTGCGTATTCCACATGATCACTTCTTGAATAAATTTGGTGATGTGAGTCCATCTGGCGAGTATACCACCTCCATTCAAAGTAACAGTAAACGATTCAATGCAATGTTAGCAGCGATGGTTGGAACTAGAATTGCATTGGCATTTCAAGCTACTACTTCAATGAAGGTGAGATGGCGCCCTCTTGTGTTCATATATGTAATTTTTTTTTTAAACCTTCCTATTTTGTTCTTTAATATAGACAGATTGAATTTAACACTATCGGTATGTCATCACACGTACTGTGTGTAATAAATGTCCCCTCAAAACAAAAAAAAATTATTTTTTATTTGATGTTCATATTTTTGATTGAGACTAGTCGTAAATATGAAATTGTGTTAATTTGCTTCAAAATTAGTATAGACATTAAAAAAAAAAATCACTGTGCAAAATATTGTACCAGCTATTTCTGTTCACGTGTATTTATAAAACATTGTACGTAGTGTAGTTTTGCTCTGTGGATTTTATGGTATAATTGAGAACTGAATGCCTGTCAGTTACCAGTGGAAATGCAACTGTCATGCAAATTGACAGTTGTGACAGAACATACTGTAAAGTGACCTAATCTCAATTCATTGCAAGAAAGGTTTACACGTATTATGGCTGCACCTGTGAATATACTAAGGACACTCAGTCGATTTGAAAATTAAATGTCTTTCTCATATTTTTATTATTCATACCATACTAATTTTCATCTTATTTTTGGATTTTGTTTGGTAACATTGACTCAATCAATTTTTTGTATTGTTATTATAAATTTTCAACAAATTTTCTAGTCTAGAGTCTAGTTATCATTTTGATAATATTTTGTCATTTATATTT